ACGGGTAGCTACTATGAAGGGATAGAATATGACTCTAAAAATGAAAAATAAAAATGTTTTTTAAAAAAGGGAATGAGGGCGCCTGGGTGGCTCAGTTGGTTAAGTGACTGCCTTCGGCTCAGGTCATGATCCTGGAGTCCCGGGATCGAGTCCCACATCGGGCTCCCTGCTCGGCGGGGAGTCTGCTTCTCCTTCTGACCCTCCTCCCTCTCATGCTCTCTGTCTCTCATTCTCTCTGTCTCAAATAAATAAATAAAATCTTTAAAAAAAAAAAAGGGAATGATAAGATGTTGGTTGAAAAAGGGAAAAAGAAAAATTTAAAAAAAAAGTTAAAAAAAAATTAACTTTGAAAGACTAAAGAATCATGGTAAAAAAGCCATGAATTCTATGTGCAGTATTCCCCTAGCTCTGGAGTTCTGCCATTCTCATTGATCAGTAAACTTGGTCTTGGCTGGCTGTTCTCGCTGATCTTCTGGGGGAGCGGCCTGTTGCCGTGGTTCCCAAATGTCTTTGCCGGAGGTGGAATTGCCCCGCCCTTGCCAGTCCGGGCTAAGTAATCTGCTCGGGTTTGCTCTCCGGAGCTTTTGTTCCCTTCAAGCTTTCCCTACAGCTTTGGAGGTGGAGAGTGAAAATGGCGGCCTCCCAATCTCCGCCCCGGAGGAGCCGAGAACTCAGGGCCCCGCTCCTCAGTGCGCCCCCAGAGAAAAGCCGTCAGTCACTCCCGTCTCCCCGGTCTCCGGCTGCACTCCGTGCTCACCCGGCCTGTGACCGCGCGTTTCTATCTCTGGCACCCAACCCCAGGTGGAGTCTCCAAACCCAGCGGATCCCTGTGGTGCACTCCCGCTCGGCTCCTCCTGGGGACCCCTCCCGGGAGTCTCCCCGGATCTGCCGCTCGTTGGGTCCCTGCTGGAGGAGCAGTGACCCGACTGTCCCGGATCACGGTTTATGGCAACCCTGAGCTGAGAGCCCGCGCCTCGGCTCTGCCTCTGCAGCCGGCTTCCCTGCTCCGTTACCTGGGAGCTCTGCCACACTCAGGCACCCCCGGTCTTTCTGTGACCCCGAGTGTCCTGAGACCACACTGTCCCGGAGGGTTCCACCCCCCGCTTAGCCACCAGAGTGACGTCCCTCAGCGGAGCAGACTTTTAAAAGTTCCGATTTTGTGCTCCGTGGTTCTATCACTTGCCAGAAGCGGCTGACGGAGGCCCCTCCCCCGCCGTCTATCCTCCCGAATATCGCCTCGGATTCACTTCTCCGCACGTCCTACCTTCCAGAAAGTGGTCGCTTTTCTGATGAGAGAGTTGTTGCTATTATTTTCTTTGATCTCCTGTTGAGTTTGTAGGTTTTCAGAATGGTTTGATCCCTATCCAGCTGAATTCCTGAGAGGAGACGAAATCCAGGTCTCCTACTCCTCTGCCATCTTGCTCCCAACCTCCAATGAATGTCATTGAGAGCATTTCCAAGTTCTAGCATTTTCCCTTGGACATTCTTGGCTAGTGAAGATTCAGTCCTAGTAAATGAAAGTACTCCCCCAAAGTCCTGGACAGGAGCTTTGTGGCTGGGCTTTTGAGACATTTATGTTTTGAGTGAGTGTTAACATTTCAAGAACTAGGCTGTCCTGTACCATAAGTTATGTACCATAACTCTGTACCATAAGTTATGTGAACAGTTCCTTGGGAAGGAATGGAACTTGCAGCAAGTTACAAAAAAAAAAAAAAAAAAAGTGCTAAAATAAACATGTATTTATATTATGAGTAATGAAAGCTAGTTAAAACAGTGTGTTTTAATGTTCATTTAACATTTCTTGATTTTCTGGTCAGAAACATTCAAAGCCCAATATTTAAAAATCGTCTCTATGCCTATACCTTGCACTGAATCACTTCCAAATTGAGCAGTCAAACCTGGTTAATCTAAATTACTTTGCAAACTTCATTACATTACTTGGCTTTTTAAAAATCCTATCAAATTTAATAAGGACATATCCTACAGCTGGTTATCACTTAAATCTTATTATTTGGTCATTTAGATAAACCAAGGACAGATTAATCCTTTCTCTGACTGCAAGTTAGGGCCTTTAAATGTCAGTGTAAACTTGACATGTATATGAGCAAGAGCTGTAGAGCATTTGGCAGTAAAGGGTTAATGAGATCATTTAGTCCTTGAGACTCTTTTGAGTGCTTTTAGCTGGAAAGAAATTGAATGGTTGAGAAATGGTGCACTATGAAACAAGTTATAAGTATTAGTCTACTTGAAATTTTGAAGAGTGCTTCATAAAAATCTATATTGCACTCCACTGTCCATCTTACTGCTCTTATAATACGAGAGGCCTTTGTTCATGTATTGGACTGTTGCACTGAAGGTATCATTAATTTACGAGACAGTAGATTAAAACCTTATATTTTGTTTCTTGCTTTGTGTTGACAGCTGGGTAGTTGACAAGGTTCTTTTAAGGTCTTGGGAATATATGTCATAAGAGGTTAGTATTTTTAATACACAAAGAGCCCTTTCAAATTAATAAAAAATCCCTAGTATAAAAAATAGATAATGGATAGAAACACACAATTCATAAAAGAAGAAATACAAATGGATAGGTTTTTCAAAAATGTTTCACTTCAGTAATAATCAAATTCAGATCTTAAAAATAATGAAGCAGATTTTAAAAAAATGAATACCTGTTGGCTTGGTGTGATAAAATATTGGCCAATGAGACTAGATAAAAGGATGAAATGAGAAAGAGTGAAAAAGATGCATCATTCTCACTATATGCAGTTGATAAGATAGATATGTACCAGGTAAACACAAGAGTCACCTGTAAGATAACTAGAAGGAATGAGATAATTAACGTGGATAGCTGCAAAATTAATATATAGAATTGTTATGGATTGAATTATGTCTCCCCAAAAGATATGTTGAAATCCTAACCCCCAGTACCCAGGATGTGACCTTATTTAGAAATAGGATCCTCACTGATGTAATTAGTTAAGGTGAGGTCATACTAGAATAGGTAGGCCCTTAATCTATGACTGGTGTCCTAAAACAATGTGAAGACACAGGAACATAGGTAGAGATTGGAATTAATTATGCAAACCAAGAAACTCAGAGTGACACTAGAAGCTACAAGAAAGGCATGAAATAGATTTAGATCTGATTTCAGACTTCAGGCTTCCAGAACTGTGAGACAATAAATTTCTGTTGTTTTAAGTCACCCAGTTTGTGATACTTTGTTACAGCAGTCCTAAAAGACTAATACATAGAACCCCAGCTTTTCTATATGCCAGCAATAACCAAATAGAATGGAAAAATAAATCCCTGAGTCATAGAAGACAACATTTTAAAAAATGACTTGTATATATATGGAAAGTTAATGTCAAAACATGGTTTCTTTTTATGTCAGTTTGTAAATTCAGTGAAATAAAATACAACAGGGTTGGGTGGAAGAGAATTTCAGGAAATGACTATAAAATCCAATTAAATTAAACTGGGATAGGGATATGAAAAAGAATAGTAATGAGGGAAAATTAGTTTTGCTCACTATTAAAACTTTGTCAAGTTGCAGTAATTAAATGTATGGTAAAAGAATAGAAGATCAAAGAGAATAGAACTCAGGAGTGAACCCAAATATATACTTATGGGAATTTAGTATATGATAAAGGATATTTCAGACCCTAGGAAGAAAGAGATTATTCAATAAATCATATTGGGATAACTGGCTAATCATTGGGGGAGGGGGGATAAAGCTGGATCTCTGTTTCACCTCTCACACCAAAATAAATTTTAACTGAGTCAAAGATATCAATATGAAAAGGAAAAAAATTGAAAGGTACAAGAAAACTTTGGTGAAACTAATAGATAAATGAATTTTAAATTGATAATATGCAGTGAGTGTATAGGGAAATAGAAACCTAATACACTAAGTGAAAATATTTTAAAGACAGAAATTCTCCACAAATTAGTACATAAATGTAATACCACAATTATCAAAATTGTATATATAGGAAAAAATAGACTATTCAAGAAAATCTTGAAAATGGGGAATTAGGAAGAGAGGATAAATGTAGGAGATAATGCTGTGGGATAGTGAAACTTAAAACTGCATTTAAAACAGTGAAACTGGCTAAGATTAAACTCGGTGGAGTAGACTAGAAAACCCAAACAAGCCCCAAGTATATATAAATACGTAAGTACCTGATAGATGTAAAGGATGGATAATAAATAAATGGAATTAGGAGAAGTCCATTATCGATTTTTAAAAAAAATTTTATTTACTTATTAGCACTAGCAAAGGGGCAGAGGGAGAAGCAGGCTCTCCGCTGAGCAGGGAGCCCAATGTGGGGCTCAATCCCAGGACCCTGAGATCATGACCTGAGTTGAAGGCAGATGCTTAACCAAGTGAGCCACCCAGGCACCCAGAAAGTCTGTTACCTATTGAGAAAAATAGATTTCTATCTCATCCCACACAACACAAAACTTAAATGGATTAAAGAATTACAATTGACCCTTGAACAATATGGGTTTAAACAGTGTGGATCCACTTATACACAAATTTTTTTTATAAATATAGTACAGTACTAGAATTGTATTTTTCTTACGATTTTCATATTTTCTCTAGCTTACACTATTGTAAGGATATAGCATATAATACATAAAACATACAAAATATGTGTTAATCAACTGTTTATGTTCTGGGTAAGGCTTCTAGTCAACAGTAGGTTATTAGTAGTTAACTTTTGGAGGAATCAAAAGTTATATGCAGAATTTTTTACTGCGTGGGGGGATGGCCAACACCCCTAACCCCCCGTAGTGTTCAAGGGTCAACTGTAAATTTAAGCACCCAGTATTTGTTGAGCCTCTACTATTATATTAGCCAGGCACTATAATGGAGCTGGGATGCAGTAGTAAGCAAGACAAGCAAAGATCTCTACTCTTGAGGAGTATACAACTCATGGAGACTGACAATAAATATTAGCTATGCAGCTAAGAGCAATCCCTGAATTATGTTGCAGAACAGATCCTGTAAGGACAATAAAGCCATTATATGGCTATCCCTGGACACTGCACACAGCCAGTTCCCTCTCTGCTGTGGTTGTCCTAGGAGCTCTGGCAACCACCAACACCATTACCACCAGAGAAAGTGCTACATCATCATCCATGCTCTACAACACCAGTTCCTATTGCAAAGCCTACGGTGAGTGTTTCCGATTGGTGGAGCCAAGGTTTAGGCTCATACCCTCCCTTCGGCAAACAGGTCAAAGACAACAAGCATTTGACCTTTTTCAGCATCTATCATGCAAGGCTCTGTCCCTGAAACACTTGTGGGTAGATGGAGGTGGTATTCAGATGCTGAAAATCAATAAAAGACATGGGTGATAAGAATTTTAAGACCAGAATAATTACCTGGGACACTTCACGGACGAGATGGAGGGTGAGACTTGAATGATGGTGGGATGGAAGGAGGGAAGAAAGGTGAGCAGTTATAACTGTACTTCTTACTGCTGTGTGTCTAAGAAGGAAGTTACTCTGTGGAATGGAGTGGTGGGCTTGCTGGACTGAAGAGTCATGGAGAAAGCTAAAGTGGACAGGTGGTCAGGCTAGGTTTTGAATGTTGTTGGAAGCCAAGCAGGAAGCTTGGGCTTTAATGACCCAGGCCATATGGAGACTTGGAGGTTCTAGACCAGCAGAGTGACACTTTGTCCCTCATGTCTAAGAGTGTTTCATTCATTTATTTATAAAATCTTTGTTGTGCAAGATAATAGGAATAGAATGGTGAACAAGAAGAGGTCCACTCCCTACCCTCAGGCGACCTCCAGTGTGGCAAGAAGGACAAACAGAGGACAAGCAAATACAATATAGCAGAAGAGACAGAATAAGGAAGACAGAATAAGGAAGCCCTAGTGGCTGTAGGTACACAGGGGTGGGGGCATTCAGTGTAGCTATGAGTGATGGAGGAGGCTTCCTCTGGAAAGCGAGATTTAAATTGAGACCTGAAATTTTCCAGCCAGAAGAAACAGCAAACCATGTGGATCCTCACACTTTTAAAGCTCACCCCTGAAGTTCCATAAATGAGACACAGATTATTAGTGTTGTGTTTAAGAATATGCACTATGTAGAGAGAGACACCGCATGGGTTCTACAGAGCCCAGCTCTATCCCTTGTGAGCTACATGAACTCGGGAGCATCAGCTTAATCTGAGCTGTAATTTCCACAGGTGTAGACACAGGGTGATGGCAGCACCAGCCTCAGAAGATGATGCATACTGACACCTTCTCTAGATCCTCACACACAGGAAGTGCTTCTATCGGTCAGGACCCTACCAGGGAAACAGAAACCAAGTAATTCAAAGGGATTTTAAGGGAAATTCTAAAGAGAATTGAATGTAGGAATTGCTTTGTAAATGATGGAAGAGCTGAAAATCAAATAGGAAATGGTAACAACAACAACAAAAAAGGAAATGGTAAAGCAACCAGAGATCAACAACTGCAGGAAGGGGCTACCACCCCAGGCCGGAAGAACAAAAGGAAGAATGGTGGTGCTGAGCCGCAGGGCCCGGGGCTGCCCCCGAGAACTAGAGCCAGCGCCCTCGCGGGGGGCCTGTTCCAGGTGCGCTGGGAAAAGGGATGAGGGTCTGTCATGAAAGTGATCGGGCTGAGCTAGAGGGCTTGACACTGCAGAATTGACATTTGTTAGGTTATCTCAGGGAGAAAGACAGCACTTGACATCCCTTCTGCTCCTTTTAAAGGCAAATGATTTTCTGATGAGTTATCCAAGTCTCGAAGGTACAGTGGGCACACAAGACAGAATTGAGGAAAGTAATCTATCATTGTCTTTGCCTGCTCCAAACATTCGCCCTGGAGAGCTTTTCCTGCTGCGGCATCTACTCCACAACTTCCCAAGTGTGTAGATCCCCAAGCAGGTTGCTGACAGCACCCACAGCTGAGCAGACTCCCAGGGAGAAGAATGACGCTCATGCTCGTGTTTGCTGCCCCCTCTGAGAAATACAGTTGTCAGGGCCACAGTCCCCCTTCCTGATCAGAAAGCCCCAAGGAGACGTAAAGCTGAGCCTTCTCTAAGTTCTCTGATGGGCGACCTCCTTTTTAAAGATTTACAGTGTAAGGATCCCAGTCATTGGAACTTAGCCATGGCTTGGCTCTCGGATGTCTGTAGCCTACTTACCAGAGACTTTGCTCAGCCTTGCAGGACAGCTAACACCGCTGTCCTGATTCTTCTACTCTCCACTCCCTTCAACTCATTCCAGACCCTCTACTCCCTCCAGACCCCTGACAGAACGTAGTTTAGTTTGCAGGTTAATTCCGGTTGGGAGTTGTTCTCTTCTCAATATCCACTTTTCACATCCACTTCCGCAAAGACAGGGATCTGGTCATTCCGCCCTTGGTAGGAAAGCTGTGATTCGGAGGGAAAGCTGTATGTTTCTGTTAGCAGAAAGGCTACATTGAAATGAAACTATTACATTGTTTATAAATATACAGGAAAGTTAGCAAACCCTTGGGTAAGGAAATAGCTGGGCCTAAAAACAAAAGAAAAGAAGAGCAGTAGCCATACTGATTTGTAACAAGAACAGAGTTGGAAGCCATTCTTCATCCATTCATGACAGTACCTACTACATGTCAGGTGCTGTGCTGGGCTCTGGGAATGCACAGTTGAGAAGCTCACGGTCCCATAACTTATTCTTATACTGCAGTGGACCAAGTGCTGTGATAAAGGTCATTGTGATATTGTGATTTATAATAAGAAATAGAAATTTGTCTTTGTCCTGTTTCTGGCACAGAGTTCCTGAAACCCTTGGAATTTCCTAAGTGATAAGAGTGATAAATGTGTCAGGGAAATACATATCAAAACCATAATGAGATACCACCTCACACCGGTCAGCATGGCTAAAATTAACAAGTCAGGAACCAACAGATGTTGGCGAGGATGTGGAGAAAGGGGAACCCTCTTACACTGCTGCAGCCACCCTGGAAAACAGTATGGAGCTTCCTCAAAAAGTTAAAAATAGGGACACCTGGGTGGCTCAGTCAGTTAAGCGTCTGCCTTCGGCTCAGGTCATGATCCCAGGGTCCTGGATCGAGCCCGGCATCAGGATCCCTGCTCAGGGGGGAGTCTGCTTTTCCCTCTACCTCCCACGCTCTCACTCTCTCTCTCTCTGACAAATAAATCGTAAAAAAAAAAGTTAAAAATAGAACTAGCCTACGACCCAGAGATGGCACTACTAGGTATTTATCCAAAGGATACAAACATAGTGATCAAAGGGGCACATGTGCCCTAATGTTTATAGTAGCCTATCCACAATAGCCAAAATATGGATAGAGCCCTGATGTCCATCGACTGATGAATGAATAAAGAAGATGTGGTGTGTGTGTGTGTGTGTGTGTGTGTGTGTGTGTGTGTAACGGAATATTACTCAGCCATCCAAAAGAATGAAATCTTGCCATTTGCAATAACATGGATGGAACTAGAGTATATTATGCTAAGCAAAATAACTCAGAGAAAGACAAATACCATATGATTTTACTCATATGTGGAATTTAAGAAACAAAACAGATGAACATAGGGGAAGGGAAGGAAAAATAAAATAAGATGAAAAGAGAGAGGGAGACAAGCCATAAGAGACTCTTAACTCTAGGGAATAAACTGAGGGTTGCCAGAGGGGAGTTGGGTGGGGGGATGGGGTAACTGGGGGATGGGCATTAAGGAGGGCAGTTGATAAAATGAGCACTGTGTGTTATATATAACTGATGAATCATCAAATTCTACCCCTGGAGGTGGGGAAGAATTCTTTGGGGGAAAAAAAGAGTGATGGTGGAGTCTTAATATTCATAACAAACCGCTTTCAACCACATCTGAGTTTATGCCAATTCAGTGGCTTTTTTTGGAAGCACTGAAGGATGAGGGCAGATCACAGGAATCAATCCTGTGATTGGAGGCTTGGAAGTTTTAGTCCCACTCCCCCGACTTCTGGGAAAGGGAGAGAGGCTGGAGGTTGAATCGATCACCAGTGTCCAATGATTTAATCAATCATGCCAGTGAAATCAAGCCTCCATAAAAACTGAAAAGGAGGGGAATCAGAGAGCTTCTGTCTTGGTTGGTAAACCATGGAACCTGCGGAGAGGGGCACTTCTGGAGAACCACGGAAGCTATGCTTCTCTTCCCCATATCTTGACCTATGCATCTCTTCCATCTGGCTGCTCCTGAGTTAAACCCTTCTATAATGAACCAGTAATCCAGTAAGTAAATTGTTTCTCTGAGTTCTGTGAGCTGCTCTAGCAAATTAATCAAACCCAAGAAGGGGGCTATTGGAACCTCCGATCTATAGCTGATCTGTCAGAAGCATAAGTGATAACCTGGGCCTGGTTGTGGTCGGGGGCAGTCTTGTAGGACTGAACCCTTGACCGAGGAATCTGATGCAATCTCCAGGTGTTTAGTGTCAGAATTGAGTTAAATTGTAGGACACCCAGCTGGTATTGGAGAATCGCCTGGTGGTGTGTGTGTGTGTGGGGGGAACCCACACATCGAAATTGATGTCAGAATGGGAGTCATAGAAGTTCTTATTGGAGCCCAAAGGAAGGGACCAACAGAAACTTTCAGTTTGGATTTCATATAATATGCCACAGCTGTCTAAGTCATCTCAGGTAGGAAATAAAGTGAAAAACTGCAGAGTTTTCAGAAGACCTCTGGATCACATAGAATGTGTTCGGCTGTAGGTAATACAAAACCTGACCAATGCTGATTTAAACAACAAAGATGATTAAGGGTCCCACACAACTGAAATCTGGGAGTGGATGGTCTGAGTTCAGAAAAGCAGTGCAGTGATGTGATTTAGGGCTCAGGCTGTCTCAACTTTTTTGGCTTTAGCATTTTCAACTTGTCGACACTGTCTTCCTTCTGGTACCAAGATGCTAATGCCGCTCTGGTGGGTGAGTCATTTAAATTTTCTGGTTCTCCATTTCTCCTCTATAAAATGAGATGTGATTGGATGATGAGCTTTCTATTACACCAACTGCAACCCTGATGTGATAGTTTAACCCATTATAGTTCTTTAATTTGAGTGTACATCAGAGTCACCTAAAGGGTTTATTAAAACAGCCTGTGATTCAATAGGTCTGGAATGGGGTCTGAAAATTCACAAGTTCTAACTTCTAACAAGTTCCCAGATATTACAGCAAGTGCTGG